CCCCCCCCCCCGCACCACCCGCGCCGGTCGAAGTTCGTCGCCTGGTCGTTGCACGCCGAGAGCATGCTCTGCTGCATCGACATCTGCGCCTGCATGTGTCGCTGCAGCGTCAGTGTCTCCTGCCCGTTGCTCGCGTTGTCCGTTGAGGTCACCGGGGCAAGGGCGGCGGCGGCCAAGGCAGCGCGGGCTTCCGCCGGGCTACGCGCCGCAAAGATCGCCTTGTGGGCCCCTAACGCCCCCTCCCCACCCAACAACTCTGCCCCTAACACCGCCGGCTGCCCGCGAGGTTGCGGGGCTACCCTACCTGCACCGCCGTTTTTCGGGGCTTTGGGCGTCAGCGTGTAGTCTCCGGGCACGTATCTCTGGGGCGCTGCTAAGCCAGCTCCCTGGCGGCCCGACAGACCCTGAGAATGCGAAGGACCCACCCTCCCCGCGCCCGCCTGCACAGAAAACGCTTCTCGCATTGCTGCCGGGTCGAACTGCTGTTGCTGTTGCGCATCGCCGAGATGCTCACCCGTCCCGTCCCCTCGGATATGGTCGGCGACGCTCTGGCGGGCCTTGGAAGCGGTGGCGCGGGCGGCGTCCATCGAAACATCGGCCGCCGCAGCCGCTTCTAGCTGCGACGCCCCCTCGTAATTCAGCGCGCACGGCCGTTCTCTCCGTCTCGGTCTTTCCGCTGGGGCGGCATCTTTGCCCCCCTGTTCCGCTTCCTTGGGCGAGCCGGCAGGCCTGTCTTCCCCTCCACGCGACCACACCAGGCTGCTTGAATCCGAGAGAGTGCTGCTGCATCCAGCCGTGGACACCCCGCTGCCGCAGCCGCCGCCAACCAGGTGCACTTCTTTCGGCGCCCGGTTGTTGGCCTCTGCGCCGACATTGCTGCCCGCGTACTGCAAGTCCGACGGCGGACAAACGCCGACGGCTGAAGCCGTAGTCGCGGTGGTGGTCCCCGCGGCGCTCGAAGGGAAGGCCCTCGGCATCCTGCCACCGCCGCCGCCGCCGCCGCCGCCGCCGGAAAACTCGGCCGGGTGCTTGGGGAGGTGCTCCGTGCCCTGCTGTCTCACGAGCTGGGCCTGCAGCTGCTGCTGGCTCTCGACCACCTCCCGCAAGTGGTTGTGGAACTTGACCTGCATGTCGATCCCTTTGGCGAGGAGCTCCAGGTGCGACAGGAGCAGCGCACCGTTGACCACCTCCCCCGCCGCCTCCCCGGGCAGCTGCAGCCGCTGCGCCCCGCCGACCGCCTCTGTACCGCCTCCGGCCAGCTGCGCGCTCGCCTTGGCGCCGCCGCCGCTCCCCTCGGCACCTTCGTCCCTGTTCGCAGTCTGCGCAAACCCCGTCGTCGATTTTGAGCGAGCCGCCTCTCCACTCCCGTCCGCTTCGGCGAGACTGCTGCTGCCGCCCCCGACCCCGCTGCCCCCGCTGAGATTGGACGTGTCAACGCAGTCGCAACTTGACCCACACCCCGGAGTCTCCGCGTCCCGCCCGCGCCCTGGCGAAAAGTCTTTCAAGTCGCCGCCGCCGCCGCCGCCGCCCGCGGCCGCTGCCGCGNGCCGCGGCCTTGGCAACGGTGGCGGCAGCCGAGCCCCCGCCAAGGCTCTTGCCGCCGTCCAGGTCCGTGAGGTAGTTGTAGCTCTTTAGGAACTCCTCCCGGGAGCGCTGCCTGTGCAGGCGGTACTTCTGTAGGTGGCTTTTGATGTGCTCCGAGGTGAGCCCGTCCACCACGGGCATCATCTCCAGGAGGAGCTTGGGCGATGCGCACTTGAGCCCCACGTCAAAGACTGCCGCCACGAAGTCCTGGTGCAGCGGCACGGACCAGACGAACCGCCGGCGAGCAGCAGCGTCTTTGGAGTCCTTGCCGCCGCCGCCGCCGCCGCCGCCGCCGCCGCCGGCCGCCGGAGCCGAAGGCGCCTTCGATAGGTTCGGCGCCGCCGCTCCCGCGGAGGCCGCCGAAAGTTGGTCCGCAGGAGAAGGCACGGAGCCGCCGCCGCCGCCGTGACTGTTCGACAAGGGCCGCTTGGCCGCCTTTGCACTGTTATTCGCGCCCCCTGTGGAGGCCAAGGCCCGGTTGCCGCCGCCAACCCGCTGAGACTGCTTGCGCTTCTTGCTCATGATGCGAATCTCCTCTACCTTCATGGCGCACTCGACGTCGCAGGTCGCCTCCTGTGGCCGGGTGGGAGCGGGCGTTTGCGAGCGGGGCGTTTGCAAGCGGGCCGTTGGTCAGTCGGCATGTCGGCCGCATGCAAGCAGGGTAACAAGCGGGTTGTCTCCTCTTTGCACGTATACAATGGAGTATAAACAAGATATAGTGTTGTTCTATGAAAGCATGGGCGACGTGCGTCCGACAGACCTTGCGACAGACTGTACGGCAGCAGCTTATCCATCAACCGTTGACAATCTACAAAAATCCCTTCTTCTCGAGTACTGGTACAGAGCATTGATAATATACATGGTCTATATTCCTACTATGTGCTCCAGCGAGCGAGCATTCGGGAGCCTTCCTCCAAGGGACAGAGCCTCAGAAGCATGAAACAACCGTCCACACGTGGTCGACTTTCAGAAAAAAACGCGCACGTCAGGGTACCCCGCCACCCCCCCTCCCCTTTGTCCCGCTGGTGGTGTAACTTCTATCCACGTGCCGGAGTGTCTTCGAAAAAGACTACAACTAAGCTATCAGATACAGCAGTATGGTGTGGAGCGAAAGGAAAGGAATGAATTGGATCACCCATGTGCGTGACATATGTACGCAAGGAAGACCCACCTTTGGCATTCGGAGGGAGGACTTGAGTACACGAGACGGGGCCAGATGACGCACAAGGCCACGAGGAGAGTGGCAGCGAGGGAGGAGCAGCGGCACACCAGTGAGACTACTTGCTGCACCAGTGAGACTACTTGCTGCAGTGGAGCAAAGTGGGACGCTGAATCGTCAGGCCAGCAGACAAATAACAAGCCAACGACGAAAAACAGGTAGCCTTTACTGACGGTATGGGTGCTATCTTAGACTCTTAGACAGAGATGAATTCGTTGTGTAATACCAGGTATTAAGCAAACAAGAAAAATATTGTGGTTCTAAGTACAGCAGTAGCCTCAACTTTTGACTTCGATGGCCTCTTGATACTGCTGCCTCTCTCGTACCTGTCGAGAGTGGCGAAGGCTACCTGTGACGCGCGAGCACGCATGGAAGCAGGGCGTAGTCCCAGCGAGGCTAGAACATCGCATTTCCTGCAACTTCACAGCAGGAGCATTCTGAGCGGTGTGTGCTGATGAGTTGAACACCTACAATAAGCTGAAAGGGTGTGACCTGGTGACAACATTCGCCGGGGCCGAAAGGCTCAAAATTGAGCCAACATCAACCGTGCACCCATCACCAGCCTCACCTCGCCTTTGGCTTTCTTCATCGACCCTCCAAAGGACTTGCTGGGCTTTTGCCAGATTTCCCAGCTTAACCACTATTTCGTGACAACGACACCTCAATAGCAGGTGCGTTGGTGGCTCATTCAAACAAAGACTGACTACAACAACCATGGGCGGATCACTCCAAAATTTCCTAAAATCTGTCCGCGATGCTCGCCGGGTTTTCGTACCAAAGAACATGCTTCGTGAAAACATAAGAAACCCCTGGGCATGGCACCACGCCCGCCCACAAACGCAAGCAGTGGAGCCCACCAGGAGAGAGTGCTGCTCCTCGCTAGGGTGCAAGGACGTGGCTACATACACCTGGGTTGTGCAGAAGAAACGGGCTCAATCCGCAGCAGGTGCGTGGAGAAAAACTGAAAAATGTTACAGCCTATCCAAGCTTGGTTCAAACCAACAGCAGCGAGGTGCTAGGGCCCTTCGCCGTCGCTCGCGGCAACTAAGCGTTACCGTACGCAACAGTTGCCGACCCTTCGTAATCAACTCTATTTCCTCGGATGTCGCAAAATTACATGTCACACAATCATCAACGCGCTTCGGACTTGTGAGAAAACTTTTGATTTTTGTTCAAACAAATTCGGTGGGCCAGCACTCACGCGGCCGGTGACACATGTCATGTTCCTACTGGTTTCTGTATCGCCGACGTCCCTCAGGAGCGTGGGAGATGGCCCAAAAAGAGTATTGCTCTTATATTCTTTGCCGTGTGGCAGTTATTGGGTGCATAATGTGGACGGTGCATTATCGACGCAAGAGGCAACATGTGTAGTACAGTATGTGACTTAAGATACCGCACCCCCTGAACCGGTTGTCATAGCTCGATTTCTCCAATGCATGGAGCGGGACGGCAACGAAACCGGCCGCCTATACTGCTGTCTCGTCGAGAGCTTTCCGAAAACGTATTGCTTTCATGTATGCATCCTCTTCGACGTGGAGTAATCATGCTTTGAAAATCGCGCCCCAGGCGGTGTTGTGTCTTACGCGACCTAACTTACACCCGTCCAAACAGGCCGGACAACGCAGTCTGGTGGTACAGAATACACCAAAGAACGGCAGTGTAGCGCGAGGTCTGTCACCTGGTTGTTTCGTGTTTAGTCCGTTGTATTCGGGAGTGTGCAATCGTGTCCGGAGATCCACTTGACGGCGAGATTACGACGGTTCGAGTCACCGCCCACCGACAGGTACATGACGCGACCGCATATGCCCAAACTCGTATGCATACGGCTGCGCCATTTTTTAGCGGTGTGGCCGCAACAATTGCATGTTCATATTCCTTGGGTTGTCGGGCTCGCGGGAAAGTCGGGGTAATATACACGCCTCTCCATTCACCAGCGTACCAATCAAACACCGGAACAGGTGGGCGACCGCACTTCAAAATCATGGACGACCTGCGCGGGGCGGCTGCAGGGGGGGGCTGTGATGATTCTGGCGAAGATGACGACGGCTGTGCTGTGCCCATGTATCGCCTTCGTTTTTTTTCTGTGAAAGAGGTATGCCAACTTACAGGGAAGGGATAGCACGAGGACAAGTTTGACAGCGCACTGTGTTTTTTGTGTGCGCCGTCCAATTGGCGCCGTCGCTGTAAAATAGTGTCATAGTGGTAGCGCTTGTTGTTGATCTGCCTCTGTTGATACCCCATCGATGCCGTTGCGCAGAAGCAGATACTGGAGGGCAATAAGAGGGAAAGGGCCACAGCAATCCGGAGCAACATGGGAGCCACGACGAAGACTCGGGTAAAAATAGCTTCGTAAGCGTGTGCTATCGTTTCCATAGGATTGACCGATGCCAGCGCATGCTAGATATTATGCCCTGAAGACTCCTACATGGGTGTTCGAACTATTTCACCGTTATCAAGGTATTGATACACTCCTCGGAGTCTTCGCGTGGTGAGAACCCTTCACCCCCCACCTTGTCAGTTTTGTCAAGCAGACCTCGCCGCTACCGCCGAATCAGGAGTCTTGAACGGCAGCGACCCTCGGGGCTGAGCGGTTGTCACGCGGGTCGGGGACGCCAACACCACCTCCGGGTGTTGGAAACTGATTCCGGTTGCTCCCTAACTCCTTAGGCATGCGCGCCCCCCACTCCCCACCCCCCCCGCGCACGAACTCGTGTTATTTGACGCAGACATCAGCGGTATTGATCAAGACGATGAAGATTTCGAGGATTTAGAGCGCCTGAACGATTGCCTGGGTGCCTTCACCAGGGAAGATGAGGAGGAGGAGGATGAAGAGACAAAAGATGAAGAAACGGGTCCTTCTGAACCCAATCATCAGGTGAGAAGGGGAGGCCACCATCGTCTTCAGATTTCGTGTCAAGGTAACATTGCTTGGTATGAAGGGAGAGGGGCGCCATGAAAGCAATCATACGTGAGCGTTGTTTTAAGCTGCCGCCTCCTGCACGTCGTATGCTCCTCGCACGACAGACCTATGCAGCCATGGCCGAGATCGTCGTCAAACAGCTCCCGACAGGCGAGAGGGTGGTTGACTTTGTTAGGGAGTGTATCCGGGCGCATTGGATGGGGTAAGTGCCAGAGTACAAGCAGATCGTCGTAGGTTTACTCGATGTGCAGGAAGTGAAGGGCGCGATTCTCGAGTGGTGGGGGGTGCTCGTGGGGGCGCTGGTGGAAAATTCCAACAGCCGCCTTCGTCGAAATGGGCACTAGCGTACGAGAAAAAGCGGGAGGAAGAGCGCTTTCCAAAGCAAGAAGAGTCCAGCAGCGAGCCGACCATCGTCCACAAGGCTCTCGAGCTGGAAGTGGATAGTCGGCGTGTCGCTCATAAACTCACTTGCGTGTTCGGGGCCACGACGAGATGAGTCTGCCTCCAATGGTTGGCATCTTGAAGCCAGAGTGGTATGAGCGCGTGAATCTTGCCGCTGTACCTGTTTGTTTCGTGTTTTTTGCGTGTTTCGTCGTTTCTGCGATGATGGTACTATTACCCCAACCCGCGGCACACCCGTGATTTTCCGGACAGGTCGTTGACAAGACCCTCACGTAACAGGCGGACGCGGCCCATCTCGTCAAAGTGGCGTATCCCGCCGAAGACGTTGATCGTGACATTCATCAACGGCGTCTAGTATACAACATTGCGGGGTGGCTTCTGAGTGGCGCTCCTTCACGCGTGGGTAGACAGCGTTCTCTTGGTTCGGCGTTTTTGCACTTCAACAGTCACAAAGTTGCATCCGCTGAGGAGTTCCGGGAGGCTTACCCTCATTTCATCTTGGAATTCGTGGTCGAGGAGAGAAACAACCCGTGGGAAGGGAAGGGTCTCATTTTCGCGTCGGCTGATTTCTTTCTTTTCGTGCGGGCGCTTGAGTCAGGGTATCGATCTCCACTGCTCAACCCCGCCCTGTTGGCGACGTACCTGGGTGACTTGGGCCGTCGGAAATATACAGGGTGGTTTCCACGGCTCAGCCCGTGAAGGCGGCATGGGCAAGGTGTGTGGGTATGATGGAAGACCCTCACCTCGGGTCCGATGGGGGAAAGGGGTGCGCAAAGCAATGTGACAAGCTGTTCGATTTCGTGTTGAAGAAGCGACACAATTGCCGCATGTTCGCGTTCGCGACTGAACTGACGAGGCCTGAAGAAGCGGTGGAGTGAAGGAAGTTCGGGGCCGATGACCACATGTTTGTGTGTGGGTGTTTTTTCTTGTCTGGTACCCTCCAGGTATGGAAAGCTGATTTGATAATCCCTTCGGGTTCGGGTATACATGATAAATTCCAAACACTCCCTCTGACCGGGGATGTAAGGTGTTGTCGATAGTCCTTTCCTTGCCCTTTTATTTTTTGCGTGATGCTCGGGTAGGATAGGCGCTTCCTCAGGAACAAAAAATCGGGGATGTTCATGTTTCATCTCTCCTCTTGAAAAGATTGTACTTCGTAGAAATATTCAACCAACATTGTTGTCAGTAAGGCATCAAATGCGTCCTTTTTCTTTCTGGTACGGCACCAAAAATTGTGGTACTCGCGTTTTTGTTTTCACGTTGGAATCTATAGACCGCCGTTTACAATATTTGGTACTTGTCTTTCGTCCTGACCGGGAGCAAAGCCCCAGGGTGGCACAGAGAAATGAGCTCGGAAGTGAAAAAACGAAGGGATGAAATATTTGTTGCAAAAAAAAAAAATCTGGGGGGGAAATATGTCATCTGAGCGAGGATCGAACGGCTGACATGCTCATAGGAACGTCGCCCATTTTCCTTACCGGCTTTGCACTTCCGTTCAAAAGGAGTACGTGTATCAGGTTCTACCAAAGGACGGAATGATTTCATCCCACGAAAGGACGCACTCAAACAAGGTACCGACCGAACCACAAAGCGGTGATGACAGCCGCACAAACCCTAACCTCCATGCAGACTGTGGTAGATCAACCACGTTGTTGGTTAAAACCCGAAACATACACGATACTGCCGCCCCTCATCAATGGCACGAATAGACTAAACATCGAAAAGACAAGGAAATCTAATCGGGAACTCGTCGTACACACACCAAGGCACACACCGAACCACAAAGCGGTGATGACAGCCGCACAAACCCTAACCTTCATGCAGACTGTGGCAGATCAACCACGTTGTTGGTGCACACCTCAAACATACACGATACTGCCGCCTCTCTCAACGGCACAAAAAAAACAATCGAGCAAACTGGTGGGGAGTTCTTGCACGTCCTCCTCCAGGACGCCTTGCTGGAGGAATATGTACACAGGCAGCTTCGCCCCGTCGCTTCCCTCCCTACCTGGTTCAAACCCGCGAGGGTAGTTCGGCCCATCTCCCTGCATAGAATAAAACATGCTTAGACTATTTAGACAGTAGTATTAGTAGCCAACGATCACTTCGTCGTATGTGCGCGTTATCCAGGAGCCGCTGTGACGAAAATAAAACAGGACGACCATCGACTTCAAACGGCGCTTATCTATGAAACCAAACAGAGTGCCGTCAACCTCGCACGCCCTTAGCATAGCACAAAAAATTTAAGTCGATTGGCGCACCTTCGTGGAGTTGGATATGGCCTGCTGAGCGTCTGCGCCGACCGCGGACGGTCCGGAGGTTCGGCGGTTATGCTACGCCTCTAATCTTCATCCTTGGCCGAAGGTGTCAGTGTCACGGCACGACGAGTCCCCAAGCTTTGGCGCGCCGGTGTGCAGACATGATCGGTGTCTATATCCATACCTGGCGGGCACACGGGGACCGAAAAACCGAAGAAAAGTCAGGGCGTAGGCGCAACTGCAAAGTGACACATTATCGTAGACACAGCAGCAGTAGAGTGAAACTACGTTACCACCAGCGCCAGAGCAAAAGAGCGCGGATAAGGTACTTGATTATTATCCAGGAAGACGAGCAGTCGATCGGCCACAAGCAACTCTTTGCGCACTCGGGGAGTATGCCTATCAGAGTCGACGCATTGCCGTGAGAGGTCGCCACTGTGACATTTGAACCGATTTGACAAAATACTTAAATTTAAGCTCCATGTCTAGCCTAACTTGAAGCCTGAGTGTATAGATCACGTCCACACACCCCGAAGTTTTTTCTCACGGTCAACCGCACGGCGACGGCAAAGCCCCCAAGACTTTTTTTTTTTTGTCACTTCAAATTAGCGCTCACAGCACTGGTGCCGTTTGCCCTAACCCGTGGTCACACAGAAGAGCCCCTCTCTACTCTCCCCTCCTGCGGTACTTTGCCTTCGATTTTTAATGCGAGAAGAGTTCAGCCCTCTCTTCCCTCTGTGTACACACGAACTAGCCCTATCCACTAGGCCAGGAGGAGCGGAAGCGAGAGAAAAACTCACTTTGCAAGAAAAGCTCGCTTACGCCGGGATTCGAACCCCTGACCTAACCTCTAATCTACTAGAAGCTTTTTTCGAGGATAAGAACTAGAAGACCACCGGGGGAGAACTATGATCGATTCTTGTCTCCTCAACGCGTTGGTCGGCAACATGAAAACATCCCACATCCCCGTTGGTTCGAAAAAACTCCATTTATCACCCTAACTAACCCTAACCCAAACTTGTTACCTGTTGCGCACTCTTTGCGGACAGAAAAAAGCACGGAGTACATTCTAGTTAAATAGCCTCCAAAGCTTTGTGCGACCACGGCGGTATCGAACCCATCCAATTGAACCCATCTATGCAAAAATGTGATTGTGTTGCCTGTACGTTGCCCCCGTTGCTGGAGTCATGGTGGGAAAGGACACCAATATGTATTATCTCCTTTCAGCAACCTCAGAAATGCTTCGACAGGTTGAGTGCACAAGCTTCCCATAGATTCTGCTCACGAAATAGAGCACAACAGCCGTACCACGTCGTCATGTAGTGGGTGTGTGGGATGTCGGCTTCCGCGGGTTTGAAACATGTGCGGCCTTTCTTTCGTCCAGCGGTCTCACCAGTGTACACGGATTGTGTTGATTCAAGTTGCCACCGTTCAGTCAAAACTCCATCATCATTTGCCAAACCGTAAAAAACTTCTGACTCACACGCACACAGCATGGATGGATGGTCTGCTATGACCCGTTGCGAACGGTACATCCCCAAAGCCAAGCCAGGCGCGCTCCAGTAGACGCGGGTCGGTTGCTGGAGGCGTTCAAAACGCAGGGTCACGTCGTCTACACAACGCAGTCGATAACTATTTATTGCTAACTCACATTTCCCAGCCCAAGCTGCTACACATAGAGCCGGGTGGGTGTGTTGTGTTTTGATAGTATCTCACAGATCAAAGAACGGAAGATTTTTGATCATAATAATGATGATGATGATGTGTTGTTGTTGTGGAGAGAGAGATACTACTAGACTACGTACTACGACCTTATGCTGCATGAAGATAGATAGATCTCGAGGTGGATGCACGACGTTGGTGTGCGTGAGTGTGTTTTACCATCTAGATTTAATGGCGCCAGTCTAGATACACCTTTCGGTGCATGTTGTATATGTAGCAAATCTTTGACGACATGTCAGCCAGGTTCACGAGCACATGATAATAGTAAGTATTTATTGCTGTTGTCTTCACAGTAAAAACCGTTCTGATTTCTCTCTACCCAGTACCTTCATATCTCGGTACTGATGATCCAACACTTGACGCGGTCGATTCCCGTAGTCACAGGCTAAGTTACCCTAAAAAGGTACACTCAAATAAACTGGCCCCGAGGGGTCCGCAAGTCAATAGAAATCAACGACAGACAACGCAAAGCACAGACAAGGCCATCTGACACAGAAAAAGAGAAAAAAAAAGAGAGATATACTAAAAAGAGAAAAAAAAAGGAAACAGGAAGGAAAGAGAAAATAAAACGAAAAAGAGCGAGAACAAAAGGGACCAGGCCGAAATAAACAAGAAATAGGAGACAGAAAAAAGGCACACTGTGAAGAGACCACGAACGAACAAGCAAACACGCAAACTTGGCCACCAATCAGTGTAGTCTATGTTTTTTGAAAATATATATATATCGCCACACCAAGGCCACAACCAACTTGTACCTCACACCACACTACTACCACACACACTCTTTTCCGTCGCCGGCGTGGCGGGGCTACTTCATCATATATATGAAGTATTTTCTATCGCGAGAAGGGTCACCGGTTACTTTCCTTCGCCGACCTTGAGGTACCTTTCGTACTCACAAAAAAAATTGTTTCCGCCGCTATAAGCAGAATCAGAAGTACTTCGATTTTTCGTCGCATCAGCGAGGGAAGAATCGAAAACTCTCAACCTTCCGAGTGCAAGTAAGTGGTGTTTGGCACTCACTTCACTTTTCTTCGCCATCAAAATCAAGCCACATAATATGGGATGCGAAAGACTAGCAAGCGCATGCACGACGCAGCTGTGTGGCAGCAGAGCGAAATTCCCTTCCTCGCATACACCAACAACCAACCTTCTTCCGCGCACGCACCCAAACTACACGAGTCCGGGACAAACAAGGGTTAGTTGGGTTCGAGGGTTTGCGAGACGAAAAACAATTGCCCGCAAACAAAAGCGAATGATTGTGCAGAGCAGCTCGAAAAAACTACAGCGCAGTATTCGGAGAACAACAAAGACAAGAAGAATGCCTCCAAGACGGGTGCGTCCATGCATGCATGCATGCGTCCACGTTTATCGTTGATTATTTCCCTTGCACTCGAGGTGTTTTCAACGTCCCTCGGCATATTCCGCGCGTGCCTTCCCCTCCCTGTACATACATGGCAGCTGTAGGGGGCAGACACTACTACAGCACAAGTTCAGACGAACACAGGGCCATAACTACGGTCTCCATCCAAAATCATTTGCTTGACGCCCGGCAAAAAACAAAGGAGAACGACCTTCTTGCTTGTGGGATCCCGAGTAGCCCATGATCAACCGGAGGCGGCCCCTCTGCAAAGCTACCCCAGAATACGCAAGCGGACGTGCCCAACGTCGCGACTTCCGACAGCGGTGGGCCTGTGGCAGGATGAGTATCGTAAACACAGCAGGAACATTTCACGTCGGCACAAAGTATCCTACGCCATAAGGGGAAAAGTAGAGCATCACACCGCTCCAGTTGATGAAGCGACTCCTGCGCCTGCGGACAATACCAGCTGACTTGTGCTGCGCGTCGTACATCGGATGGAAACCTAGACGTTTTCGTCTGAGAAGAGTCCTCCTAGCGGCTCCCTCACCACCGCCAGCCCCCCCTCCGCAGAAACATCAGTACCTGCGAACAGGGTGCCGAGCGGCGACAGCGGCAAACCGCTTGCCGCCGCCGTCGCCGACCTGCACTTGGCAGGACTACTGAACGATGCCCCCTCCTCGTCTCCTTTCGCCGCCACAGGCTCTGGAGCACCACCACCACCATCACCACCGCCCAAAACCGCATCATCTACCTTAGCACCACCAGTGATTCCATCAGCCCCTGCCGCCGCCGCCGCCGCCGCCGTCATCGTTCGCAATGAGGCAGCTTCATCGTTCGCACCGTCTCTGTCTTGCCCGCCGCCTACGCCCGGGCCTGGTGTGCCCGGCTCTGAAGCGGGAGGCAGCTCGCCGCCACTCTCCTCTCCCGCGGTAGCATCAGGCTCGCCACCCCCTGCAGCATCAGCAGCCCATGTTGCCGGCGCTTCGTCAACGTTGCCGGCGCACCCTGCGCCTGCTGCACGTGCCCCCCCCCTTGCAACCCCGTCAGCGGCGGCAGAAACAGGAGCCGGGTCCTTGGCATCATCGGCAACAACGGCAGCAGCAGTATTAGCGCCGGAAGCTCTGCTTCCGGTGTCCTCCATTGCCTCGTCTTCTCGTATCGATGGCTCCGGCGGCGCCAGTTCCTCGTCCACGGCACCAGCAGTCTCATCACTCTCCACCGCCAAGGTCGAAGCAGGGGACGTGGAAACGACAGCAGGCCCGGGTTCTGCCACGGTGTTCTTCCTCCGTGAGGCCTCAGCAGCAACCGGCCGGGCCGCCATTTGTTCTGTCTCCATGTCCGCCAGCGCGGCTTCGTCGTCATCGAAGCCGTCGCCCGGCCCGCCGCCGCCATCAACGTCCATCAGATCCTCCTCCAGATCCTCGACTTCTCTGCTGCCGTCGTTCGCAGCGAGCATGGCAGCAGCACCCCCGTCGTTCTCCTTTTCTGTCGTCAACGCCGCGGCCGCCGCCGCCGCAACCGACGCTTCATGTTTCTTCGAGCGCAGTCGGTCGAGAGCCAACCGGCGATTCGCCTCGATGCGTTGCCGTACCTGCTCCGACATGGCCGCCGCAGACCCTTCGGCGGCGACCTGACGGTCGCTTTTTCCCTCGTCGCCCCCGTCTCCGTCCACCTCCATGGTGTAGCGACTACCCGCGAATTCCTCGTCCTCGCGCTCCTCGGCCCGGTCCCCCTCGGCGGCCGCCGTCTTGCTCTCCTTGGCGGCGAGCCTTGCTGCCTCCTGCGAGTGGACGTCGTCTACGGCCTCTCGGCCGAACTTGGCCTCCAGCACGCGGTCCCTCTCCGTGTCCCGGAGCTCGCGCATGAGGCTGCGGGTGCGGGCCCTGCCGGCCAGCTTCTCCGTCCGGCTGGCCAGGTCCTCGAAGGCGACCCCTGGGTACAGCTGGTAGCCCCACTCCTTGTAGGCGACCATCAGACCTCGCAGGAACTCAGCCTGGGTGCCGATTGAGGGCGGGGGGTGGGGCGCATGGTTAGACCATGATCTTGCGTCGTCGGGAGTNGGGGGGGGGGGGGGGGGGGGGGGGGGGGGGGGGGGGGGGGGGGGGGGGGGGGGGGGGTTCTATCATTGGTGACGGGGTGGGGCGTTTGAGAGTGTAACGTGGTGCGCCATCTACTTGCCCGCTGCTGGTAAGTGGCCGACTGCTACAGTGTGTAATATGTTTTCCCCGCCTACACATAAACAAGTGTGCGCGGGACATTGCCAGTTGCTCGGACACCCAGGACGTTCCACCGAGATCGTGGGCATATTTATTGCAGCATGACAGAAAAAGCACGACGCGGGTGACTGATACGAGGGAGAATGTCGAGAACCTGGGGGCGTTGTGGTCCAGCCTAACCCTTGCACCCACGAAAGAGTACACCGGCGACCACAGCACGCCACCTCCTGAGACAGAACGTATCTCAATACAAAAACGGGTACGTCCAAAAATTCAAACACTCGAACAGAGACTGTTGTAGAGCTGCTTTACCTCGCGCCCCCTGCCCTTGTACCGACACTTTTGAGGGAAGTCCTTGTAGACCTGCCACAACCCTTTCTCCTTGACCAAGTGGTTCTCCGAGAAAGCGGGCGGCCTGTTTGAGACTTTCTTTGCGGTGGTGACCTCTTCTGGCGCCGCCACCCCCGTCGAATCCAGCCCAGGCTCGGTGCCGTTATTAGCACCGGCCGCATCGGTTCGCTCCATGCCGCTGTCTTCACCGCTTCCGTCTGCGACGCCAATGGGTCGAGGCCGGCGCTCTTCCTCAGACTCGGACATCCTAGTTCCCTTCTCTACGCTATCTGCTTGTCCTCCTTCTCGCTCTTCTCTTTTTATAGTGTCTCAGGCAAAGCAGCAGTAGTGAGTCCGAATTAATGGGCAGGAATTTGAATTTTGGCCCCCGGTGATGGATAGATTAACCCCGTATACCGCAGAAATATTATTCGCAGACCCCCATCGGTGCTGCTGTGTGTTCCAGGCTGCTTGCTGCGCTGCGCTTACGATGTCATTGCTGCTGCGGAAAACCTAACACCATGTTTGGGAACTCTGGGTAAGAGATGTTGGAGGTGGCTCTCGTAAGAGCTTACTGCTGTAGATATTTCGCTCGCTTTCGTGAACAACCAACAATGTATTGGCGTCACCAATGGCTGATTCGCTGGCGGTTTCTCTTCCCCCTGGATCATCGCCTACAGCGAGTGGTGTTCGCTCTATCACACGCCGTCCCTCATGTATCCACCCCCCGCGTATCGGTCTTGCACGCTGCGGCGTAGGTCCTGTCTAGATTTTGCGGTATTTCTTTTCGCATCACTGACGAAGGCTATGGCGCCAGGACACTTTTCCAGCGAGCTAGTTCCCGCCGCCATTGTTGCCGTTGACCTCGAGTCGGTGTGTAGTATCATCACGCAGGGTACTTGCTCTCCTTTGGATCACGGTACACATCATGCTAACTTGTGTGCACGGGGACGGATTCGCATTGTAAACTTAGAATTCTACTGCGGTACTGTGTGTGTAGTGCGAGAATCCGTAGCAGATAGGAGACGACAATCCGCATTCTCACACACGACTCCCAATCAATCCCCCGCCCTTTCGGCGCTACCATACGCGCGGACACGCACAGGGGAGACGTCGGGTACGGGACCCAGCAGCAGGGATATCAAACGCGGAGCCGAGGAAGAGGTGAATAGTTTCACCACTATCAGTGGACTTTGAGATGACGGAAAGTCAACCTGCGTATCTAACAAACAGAAGTATGCAATGATTATTATACGTACATGCGTGATATGTGTGATCATGAAATCAAAACTACTGCTGTGGGTATTAAACCCTGGATAACATACAATAGACTAATCAATGGATATCGATACGACTTTCCTATCGTAGTACGTCACGTATTGGTGGCCGTGACACGCGTTGACGAGTGTCTGCACCATGTATCGTTCTGGGAAATACGTATCGATTGAGAGCTTGTGGACCTGCTGCTTGCTACGATATACGATAGCATGTCCTTTCACAACCATTGCAAGGGCCAATGTATATCGTTCGACGTTCAGAAAGGGTGCTGTTCAGGGCGAGTTGATGCAATATATCGACGGAAAAACGTAATGGATACAACATGTATCGATAAACGTAACAGCGATGTATTGCATTTGGTAATACCTATCGATACACACACCGTGGCCTTCAACATGGGAGACGAAAAGGAAGGGGGGAAATGGAAAGAGAGCGCCAAGGACCCGGAGGTGTGGTACAACAAGGTCGAGGACGGGGCGGCATTTCTCATGAGGAAATGGCACAGGCAGGAGGCGGAAACGTCCGCGAAGCGCCCGCGTGCGAGGGAAGCAGAAGCAGAGAGTACGGCCATCTCAGGACCGAAGAGAAAGAGTAGTCGGGGAAGCGGCGGTTGTTGTTGTTTGTTGTTGACTTCACATTAAACCGTATGCCAGTTGCTAAATGCCAAAATCTAGCAAAGACTCTCGGCCCGTGGTCACGAAAGTGCTGGAGCCATCTGAGGATCTAAAGAACACGCACACGTAGCAAGAAAAAGGTGTACAAGAGCCCGAAGAGGTACTACTACACCTATATATAATCCCTGCAGCACCGTACGCGTGCCCAAAACTGAACTACACGTCCGTCTCACCGTTCGACTACAGCAACATCACCCCCTACTTGTCCCACTCTGTACCAAAACGAATGATTGCCGACTACAGCATACTTGCTGTCTGAAGTGC